GTTTAACGAGATCTTAAAATAATTTGTAAGTATACGTTATTTAATTGTTTTATAAGATGTATTGTTATTTTTAAGTTAGATTCAACAGATGTTTTTATATAAGCTCTATAAAAGCGTACATGCGGATGGGGTAAAAAGACCAACTAAACCTTTGTTTTGGCTAAAAAAGAAATTTTACAAAAAATAGATGAAGCTAATAGTTATTCCAATTTTGCTGTTGAATATTTATGACAAATTACCAAATCAAGGTTATATACAGTGTTACTTTTGTAATAATGCGTCCGTAAAATTTATATTATGTATTGTTTGAATATTACAGCTATTATTTTGTAAAGCCTCTTTAAAATTAAAAATAAGACTTTGGATTTATTTGTCCCTCTGGCAACCTTCTAACCCGGCCTAAGGGGTAAAAAGAGATAGATAACAAATTTTAGAAAAGTAGTAAAAAAAAAAACATATTTCTATAATTAGGAGTTAAATGGCAATTTTACTCAACATAGTACGATGGTTGGTTGTTTGGTACGTGTCATGTGTTGTGATGCAGATTATTTGGTTTAGACAGTATAATTACTTAAAGTCAAATTGGACCTTTGTGTCGCGTCCTAGTCTATACAAAACCAAGAACAATTTGCTTATACAGATGTTTTCCTCAAAAATATTATTGAATAGCAACAATAGATAAAACATAAATCATACGTCAGCGTAAACATTTCGCGAAGCAGGATAATTAATCGCTGTGAGTTTGGAATTCTTGCAATAAATCCATCGGCTCCGCTTCGCACAAACTCATCATTTACAAAGATTATTGTGTTAAACTGTCATTATTTATATAAGGAAAAACGCAATTGAAATAAATATCTCTAACTAGCGATACAAGTCCCCGATGCAATAGAATGTGTTATTGATAGTACGTTAGTACTTCACTATTTAATGTTTATTATCATGATATGTTGATAGAGAATTTGCATAATACGAACGTCTGAAGCCAATGTTAACCAGTCACTTTACTCCGGGCAGCGGCCGAGCCGCGGCTTATTCGAAATACGCATCGTCGGGGCGTAGAGTAGAGTAGAGTAGAGTAGCATCCAAAATTATAAATAAACCTGGCCGGTGATGGCGTGCCTGCATGCCGTAAATTTATAGAAAGTTTCATACGAAAACTACTAGAAGTCAATGACAACTCGAGCGATGTGATGCGATATCACGTTTGACTTTGTCGTTACGTAATGCAATGTATCTATATTCCATGTATCTCTTTCTAAGTCATAACTCATGGCCGGTAATTAATTGTATTATTTCTAGAATAATGAATTGATCGATTTGAAATTTTTAATGCGCTATTAGGTAGGATGCAACTACATATTTTCAAAATCAATGCATTTCAAAATCATAGTCACATATAAAAGCGACTTGTAAAATTCATGCAGTTTAAAAGGACGGTTCGCATTCGTCGATACATACTTGATTATTTATACGCAGAATATAAACTAAAACAATTCTATTATACATTTAGATTTTATAACATGATTTTAATGTTTCAATTTTGATTTAGATTGTAAACATTTTGCTACGAGATTGTTATAGAGCCCGCCAAATATTTGTTACACAAAATATTTTATTGCTTTCCAATTATTATCAATAAAAATGCATTTGAAAATTAAACATTACACTTCTTTTTAAAACTAAAAAACACAATAACAAAATAAAATTCTCAATAATTCAACTTGGAGTAGTAAATCTTAAAGCAAAAGACGACATACTAGATATCATTTAGAGGCGACAACCGTACACGAAAGTCGTAAAATTAGCAAAAGGGTTAATATTTTTTAGATTAAATAATCATCTTATTAAAAATCTCTCGTATATAAAATTTATTTACTCATTTCTAGATATAAAAAATTAGCACAGAATAATTTTTAAGTTTATGCTTGAGAACACTCAATATAACCTCTAATATAAAATAATTATTAAAATTAAAATATAATATTATCAAAAAATTGTTTTGTATGATCAATTCACTTTCAAAATTTACATCGACGTTTGCTTGATTTCATATATTTTCTATATGCAGTATCGTTTCGTTAGAAATAATGTTATAAAATCTAATATTTTTGTAGATTAAAATAAATTATGTTTTATATAAAATATCAGATAGATTTAAGTAGTCTTAAATCATCGATCAACGCAAAAAGAAGTTGATTTATTGTTAAAAATATATTATTTTTGTAGTTTACAATATTTTTATATAGTGATAGTGAAGATACAGCGTGAGAATACACTCAATCTAAACTTTAAGAGTTATGGAAATGCATGTTTTTTTCTAAGTTATGAAAATACAATTTACAATTGTCAATAATATTGTTCGAATAAACAAACCTCAATATATAAAATTATTTTTAAATTGTAACTTTTGTATTGTAAACTATATGTTAATATATTGTAAAACTATACACCACATAGGTTATTCATTAGAGAGTAGAATTTAACTAGGTTCATACTAATTATATAGTGTAATCATATATAACTCCAAAATTGATTTTTTTGTATTCTTTATTACAATAAATGGAAATATCGAAAACTACTTAAAGGCAAAGAAACACGTGCAAATTTTCCATTATTTTTTTTCCGAATGCCGAATAGCATCGGCCATAATAGGCGTCGAATAGTGCGTACGGTGTGTTTGCTATTTCTTTAGCCCCTCCTCGCAACAAATCACTAATAGCTACTGGTGCGTCTAATTTATGTTCTCTTATCGGTAATTAAGTAGTTAATTCTATGTTCGCCAGTTACCAACGATGGTTATAGGCATTATAAGTTTTATTTCGTATAATCGTAAAGTTTAATAGAAACTAATAGAAACATCATAGAGATGCTGAGTTTGCACGACAAGCGCGTGTACATCTTCACATAATCGCGATTATTAATACCAGATTTACGATTGGCATCAAGGTATATTCGTTTACTTTATTTTAGATATATGTATAAAGCGAAACAACAAACGAAGGCTTAGAGCATTTTGTTTTATTTATCGGCACCTACAAAACTCTTACTGGCATTACTAGCGCCATCTGTTATGGGGTTGTACTGGCTTAAGAAAAGATATTGAATTAAAATTGAGCCAATTCTCGGATAAAATAGAAATGTTATGGCAATCTTTGTATGAACTGATAGTAAAGAAGTGTCAAATAGCTATGTGATAAGGATTTTGCCTCATAAATATTAACATATCAAACGCACGAAATAAGTGCAACTTTCTGATGTCTCATTGATTATACATTAGTGAAATTATTTTATTTATAAAACGCGTGATCGCACAGCAAATACATAGTTTTTGACAGTTCGTTACTTCATACAAATATACACCCGTAACATAGCGTTACCAAAACATTTCTATTTTACCCCATTACTACTTACAATTTTTACTACCTTACTATTTTTTTTTATTAATTAATTCTTCACATAATTCATGTCTCGAGCTAAGTTAAAGTAAAATCAATCTACAAGGTAGTCAGTTGATATATATATATATATATATATATATATATATATATATAAATTAGTTTTTACTACATTGCATTTATTTCATTCTTTTCTGGTACTGATTTATTGCAAACTTATTTTTAAAACAGATTTTCGTCACAGTATGTCTCGGAACAAAAATAATCAAATTAAATGAGTGGGACTTTGGTCAGTGAATATGAATGAATTATATATATATATATATATATATATATATATATATATATAACTTTCGAATAGAATGCCAAGAAATTGAACAGTATACACTGAACCGTGTACCTACTAGCATCAATCTATGTCACAAATTAGAAAAACAGTAGACCCCACGTGGCGCAAGACTCTATTAATTTTAAAAGCTATCATAAATAAAGGGTTAGAAAGGAAATATTTATTCAAGTTCTTATAAAAAGCAACGACTTCATTCGTTTAAAAAGTAGTACAACGAATTTATTAGTATACGTTATCAATAATAAATAAATATTACTAATAAAATAGAAGCACGTGACTCAAGTTTAAATATCTGTAAACATTGTTAATATGTACAAAATCAATGTTTTTTTACATAATAGTTCGAAAATATTTGTAAACAAAGTAATTGAATTGAAATGGTTTCCTGGATGTGTGATTAATTATACATTAATGTACTGAATTTCACAATGAATGGAATTTACAGCAATGGGTCAGACTATTGTATTCAGTATTGTGTTCCAAATTGAATACGGAATCTATATATAAATTAGTTAAATGGCTAAATAATTGTGATGCTAATTATAGAATCCGTATATATATATATATATATATATATATATATATAATTAAAGTCGGAAGTTACACAGAAATAGGGAGTAAAATTTAACTTATAGCTGAAGTAAATCGAACGCATTTTTGATATTGTAAAATGGAACGCAAGTAAAATATCTTGAACGTAATTTAATAAAAGGCGAAAAATCATTTTTAAAACTTCAAATTTGGTAGTAATAGTAAAGTAGATGCTATTGAGTGAGTGATTATACACTTATTTACCGAGAATTCTACACGATAAAGATCCTTTCCAAATTAGGGATTGTTTACAAAACGTGCTCGAACATTCATATAATTGAAAACTCGTAACAAGAACAAAGTGTCAAGTATCATTTTTTTTCATAAATATGATATTTATGTATCGATGGCGCCAATGCGCAATGTGAATGCCCGTCGGACGTATGGTTTAAGTCTACTCACACATAACTTTCTCAATAGGGTTTGCCTTTTTTATTTGACATAGAGAGAAAATATTAAATAGCGCATATGATGACACACACTCAACGCATGACCATTTTGTTTCCAATAACAAGCACAAATTTCTAACCCTGAATGATTTGCGATATGGCTATTACCCACTTCAACGGGTCCGTATATGGTGATATTTATGTTAAGTACAAAACGTTTATATTAAGTCTATATGAACTTAAAGCTAATAAATAAAAAAATTGCATAAATACCGTTGAACTCACCGCACACCACTCGGTCGAACGGGCTCATCCAATCTGTGAAAGCACATATATTTTTTTTAAGTCGTAGGTATAATATTGTGTAATATGATAATTAAGTTATTATTTGATGCATTACTTAAAAGATAACGTGAATGATTAATAGTACTAGTTTGATAATAAGCGTTTAAAGCTAACATCTTAAGGCTTGTATTAAAACTGGGATTAATTTTATTAGCATTCAAGATTATTTCATAAATCTTCAAGACAGATCTGCTCCACTAAATTATCATTGCACGCTAATATTTTTATCACATTTCAAAGAAAGTATGAAAAAATATAGCAAACTCAAGTCAAAGATAATTAGTATTAAATAACTAATTAATATAGCAAAACATTGATAGCACGCAATATATTTGAAAATCTATTAAAATAAATTAAGCATGCATAGCATATCCACAAGTAGGCTCTTCGTCGAGCAGTATCATTAGCCAATGTAAAGAATAAGCGACGGCAAATTTTATAGGCATCGTTGAAGTGCCGCACGCGTTTAGTATTTAAGTCACGGTGGGTAGTAAAATTAATGAGTACGTATTTGAAGTCGACGCGCTTTCTGGATATGCTAAGTATGCCGTCGAAGAAGACAAATTCATATAGTGCGTCGGTATTTACCTGTAATCGACATCCACGGGTATCTGGGTATATCCGGTATGGCTTGGCCGGTAGGCGCGCCGCCCGGCGGTTGTGCGCAAGCCGGTCCGAGGGGGTCCACACCGGCGGACACGGCCGCGGCTTGGTGATAAAACTGAGCGATACTCGCGGACGCGGCAGCACTAACGCTGCCCGGTGTTGCGCCGCCATTCTGATGATGGTGACCGAGGCCGTAATTGACCATCGCGTCACCGGTGTAACGGCAACTTTTGTCGGCCGCCGCCGCTGCCGCTGCGGCTGCTGCATCCGCTAACGGCGATGATGAAAAACCGCCAGGAACCATTGAGCCAGCTGACGAGGCCGCGGCTCCAAAAGCCGCTGCCGCTGCGGCTTGCTGTTGCTGCTGATGATGGTGATGAGCCGCGGCGGCGGTCGCTGCCGATACGTACGGATACATCCTTCCACTACTGCTATTACTTGAACTGTTATTACTGTTGTTGTTGTTTAATCCGCTGATCGGCGAGTGTCGCAAGAGTGTAGGCGAAGAATCGCTACTTACTGGTGGAGAGTCGGATCCTCCGTGGAACAAGGATGCGGCGTGTTGCAAATGTTGTTGCTGCAGCTGCTGTTGCTGTTGCTGCTGTTGGTGGTGCTGGTGCAGTTGTTGTTGGAACTGCGGGTATTTTGGCAGCATGCTATCGATGATGAACTTAGAAGTCATCGTCGCGGCGCGCGTCCGCCGACGCGCCCGGACATCGTTCTCTCACGGTTATCCTTGAAAGGATTGACAGTACTCCGTACTTCCTTCTTCACCAGTCACGCACACCGTATATGATAGTACTGATAAAGACACTAACAGAACAAACACAATTAACACGTTTGTACTGTCCTGCTGTCCTCTGATAAACACTTATTACTGGACGTAAAAACACTTTGTTTTAATTATATAACTGAACGGGCACAACTAGAACAATTTCTGACAGCTCTAGTAATTTTATCTCTAAATTTCAGTGTCTGCTGATCGAAGGTTTATCATTTATATTGCGACCGAAACGTATTTTTTTAGATTCATTAATAAAAACACAATAAAGTCGATAATTATATCGCGACAATAATAAACATAATAATAACAACAATAATAGTAGCAATAATAATAATAACAATTGAGCGAAATCACCGCGACAAAAATTCCTGTTATCGAACGCGATGCTGATCCGGCCTGTGTGTACGACGCACGGCTCGTTTATTGCCCATGTGTGCTCTCCTTGGCGTCCCGTATGAAGCGCGGCAGTGGAGCGGCGATCGGCGAAGATGGCCGAGCCGCGTAGCATCGTAGCTCGTTCGCCCAGCCGGCTGCAGAATGAACGCGTCGCTCGGCTCCGTCGACAAATGGAAGTAAACGAGACAACAGTACACGACTCAGTGTTACCAAGCTCCGCTTCACTTCACGAACGTAGCTCCGTCGTCTCCGTTCTGACGAACGCGGATTCGAAATCGTCAGAAAGAGATGTGTTCAACTCTCAGCGGCCGAATCCGATCTCAAGAAGAGCCGACCAATCGTGGTTACGCACACTTCGTACCAATGGAACAGTGCCAGTGGTCGACTATGTGCCACGCGGGCTTTGCCTTCACAACACTGAACGCAACCAGACGTGCCATCAACAGGAAACTTCAAACAAGTCCTACGAACTTCAAATTCTCATTATGAGTCGTTTGATGCACTCTTCGCATGCAGAATGGCACAATAAACTGATTCACGTGTGACACAATAATCACAATTACGATCAATGTAATGGATTCACTTTTATGCATTAGTAAGAACGATATTTCCTAATTCAGAGATACGAATCCGTGGACTAGCGTTGTCAATAATTTGCATGGATCAACATAAGATTGGATCAAATTAATTAATCCAAATTTATTTAAAATTATGTTTATTATATAATATAAAAGATATTTAAATAAAATTAAAAAAATCACTCACCGCACTGCTGATCCTGTATCACCGACCTGAAAAAAACAAGTAAAATAATTAATAACTTTACATAATTAACATCTTACAGTGATAGTACATTGATTAGCTTAATTCTAAAAAAAATCAGAATTTAAGAAAAATCTGATAAGAATCTGATACATACACATTTGTTCCATCGTTTTTCCAATCAGGCAATGTAAAGCATGTCGTAATTTTTCTTAACACGTTAATCGCCACAATAATATCAATTTTTTGTACGTGGACCACAGTAACTTTATTCAATAATTTAGTTAAAAATGTATCAAAAAAACATATAACGTATAAAAAAAATTACACATATATGACTGACATGGCCGTGTATTAAACTTTTAAAAATTATTATTCTAAGCACCCTTTTTTTAAAAACGTTTTTTAATATTAACTTATAATTAAAATAAATAAAATATAATTAAATAAAAATAAATAATTGTGAGTTCTATATTTTATATACACATACATAAAAAATTAGACTGGAGCTTCAACGTTCCCAGTACGATGTTATTTATATGCTTGACTCGTGTAGTTATATGCATAAATAGTCAATTGAGAATATATATATGGTATATATATATATATATATATATATATATATATGTGTGTGTGTGTGTCTATGTGTGTTTATATTTTAGATTAACCAGATCAGGAAAAAATCATCATGGTATTTCATGTAAAAGATGACTAAAATCACACTTACAAATATGAACATTTTACGTAAATCTAGAATTCTGTGATTCGCTTTTATGCTTCGACGATAAAACGTCTGCGTTTATAAACAAGTTTATCTAATATCTATAGAACAAGAATGAAAAAAAAATTTATTGCGCATTTTTATTAACGGAACTAGTAATAAACACTGGACACGGATATTATATTGACTTTGAATAGACTTGCATTGCTTTGGTAATTGTTCTTAATTGATAATTAATTGATAACGATGCATTTTAATTAGGCAATTAATGCAATCGAATAGACTGAATGCGCGTTTTAATAAGCTGCTAGATTTAAAGACTTCAACAATGATTTATGATATGAAGGTTTAATATTAAGTACAACCATGAAGCTTAATATTATGATCCTGGATAAACTGGGTTAATGTTATGATTATATTATATACTGTTACTACGATAAAATTAATCAAGAAAAGTGACATCAATACTGGCTTCACCAGAAAATATTGACATAGTATAGATGCTTATGCATTTGCTGTAGTAATAGCACAATTTATTAAAATATTTATATTTCGTATGTATGTAAAATTGTGAAACTTGTAAAAATGTTTTAATTTTCACTATTTTTTAAATAATTTTATGTTTAAATATATTTTCATCAATATGGTGTTTGTTTGATGCCGCAAATGTTTGGTTCATTGCACGTATGTAGGTACTACGAAGCACTTTAGTAAAAGGTGAGAAATATCCGTTATTCAGAACGGATTGCGATAAACTTAAACATTTATTGCAACCTATATTATATTTAGGCTCGGTCTTCGAAGACATTAAACTTAAATTTGAAACAAATAGGTACTAAAACAGGTACCATGCATCTTAAAACAATGATGAAAAAAAATATTGAACTAATATGATATGCAAATGAACCCCCATTGATAATGACTTAAATATTCACTATACTCTATAATTTAACAGATTAAAGTCGCACCTTATTTTATTTACTGCATGAAACTTAGAAATGCTAAAGAATCAATTGCATATTACATAAAAATTAATATGTCATTTTTACTACTATTAACTTTCAAATGATATACTTAAGACAAATATCAAATCATGTTTATAAACTAACGATAAGAAGAGTAAATAGAAAGTAGATTAAGTAAAAAAAGTAATTTTACAAGAGATAAATTAAATAAATAGTTAAAATCTGATAATGAATAGTTCTAACGAAATACCAGGTCGAGATTATATACAGTGTTAACTCTGTAAAAAATGTACTCATGAAATTTATATTTGGCATTGGTTGAATAATGTTGCTATTATTTTGTAAAGTCGCTTTAAAATTAAAAATTAGAAATTGGTCTTGTTTTCCTTCTGGGCATTCCGATTGGTGGGATTTTATACAAAACATAGTCGGATAGTTGTTTGTTTGATATGTGTTACTTGTTGTGATATAATTTGTTCCTTGTGCTTATGAATATTCATATATACTTTCATACACAGCAAAGTACAAATAGTAGAGAAAAACTCTCGCTACTGGTTGAAAATCATCACATGTTAACAAATTGTTCACTGATTGAACATCAGATAAAAGTGACAATCAAATAAATAAACGTAGATATAATTACTACCGTTTTATCATTTATTTTATTATAAGTAAATAGTATAAATTACGTGTAAACGCAGAAATAATTTCAACTAATACAAAATAAAACTTCAACTAGCTGTAAGTGGAATTCTGTCTTAAGGCAATTAGGGCATCGTGCCTTAAGGCAAATTGCTGGAACTTCCCGTACCAAAAATTATTATTTTTTTTTAAAACGATTAACATTTTTGAAAAAAAATTACTTTGAAAAAATAAGATTTTTGAGAAACTATAAATTGGACAAAAAATTAGTTTTTTTTGAAAAAAAAATTTTTTTTTTAAAATATTTTTTTAAAAAAAATTTTTTTTTTTTTTTTAAAAAATTTTTTTTTCTTTATTTTGACATATTGTGGAAGATCTGAACTTTTTTAACTTCCCGTAGGGCAAGTTATAGTAATCGCAAAAAAATCGAAAATGAAAATTTTTATATATCTTTACGTTTCAGAGGTTTCTGAACATTTTGGCATACCTTAGAAAAAATGGATGTATGTGTGTGTGTGTGTGTGTGTGTGTGTGTGTGTATGTGTGTGTGTATGTATGTATGTGTGTGTATGTATGTGCGGATACAAATTTTCGTCGACGATTTCGGGAACACGGATCAACCGATTTGAATAATTCAAAAAACATTCGATCCGTATTGATAAGGAGACGTGCTGATTAGTTTTTGGCAAAGGCAGGTCAAGCCGTTCCAAAGATACGGGGCAAAAAGTTCCGAAAACGGTAACTCAGTTTTTAAGAGAACGGAGCGTCCGATTTCAATAAAACGATTGCTTTGAAAAAAAAGTTCAGATCTTCCACAATATGTCAAAATAAAGAAAAAAAATTTTTTTTTAAAAAAAAAAAAAAAATTTTTTAAAAAAATATTTAAAAAAAAAAATTTTTTTTTCAAAAAAAACTAATTTTTTGTCCAATTTATAGTTTCTCAAAAATCTTATTTTTTCAAAGTAATTTTTTTTCAAAAATGTTAATCGTTTTAAAAAAAAATAATAATTTTTGGTACGGGAAGTTCCAGCAATTTGCCTTAAGGCACGATGCCCTAATTGCCTTAAGACAGAATTCCACTTACAGCTAGTTTTCAAAGCAATCGTACTGCTTTAACTACATAGGGACAAAATATAAAGCGCGTAAGCGCCGCGTCGCTGTCTAACGCATAAGCATTGGTACGGAACCGATAGAAATGTTAACAAAATGTATACTTATTGTTAAAATCTCTATAAAATGTCTGATAATTTGATGTGCATATGTCTAATGATCATTTTTGACCGCCAAATGGCTCATTTTTTTACTTTTTCCTCTATATCTCCGAAACCGCTAGACCTACCTTCATGAAAGTTGTATCGATTCTTCATCTTGTCAATACAAATAAAATGTTTTTTGAATTATTGAAATCGGACGCTCCATTCTCTTAAAAACTGAGTTACCGTTTTCGGAACTTTTTGCCCCGTATCTTCGGAACGGCTTGACCTGCCTTTGCCAAAAACTAATCAGCACGTCTCCTTATCAATACGGATCGAATGTTTTTTGAATTATTCAAATCGGTTGATCCGTGTTCCCGAAATCGTCGACGAAAATTTGTATCCGCACATACATACACACACATACATACATACACACACAT